TCATTCACTTCTCGCCACGTTGTCTCTGAAATACCTCCTGTTCTGCTACTGTCTGCATTTCTGGGATTGCAGACTCATACCACTTCGGACATCCTAGATGTACATTCAAGATGTGTCCTTGGTGTGTCTGGCTTCTCTTTCTTGATTTTCTATTTTTCATTCAACGTATATTTCCATTTATATTTTTCACCGTACTTTCTCCCCTATAAGAGAAGAATTGCTTGAAATCTACCTTGTTCTTCTACAGACATTTATTCCCCTTTTTTGTTTAATTTTAGTCATTTCCTCATTTCTAACCTGCCTTACCCCCTAAAGAATTGGCAGTGGTGATCTAAACATGTTCATTCACATGAGCCTTGTTCATTGGAATTGGGAATCTGATATCCATAGATTTTTTTTCAAAAACATTTTCCTTTCAGTACTCAACTAATTTAACTTTCCTTCTCATTTTTTTTCTTGTTTCTTTGAAGAAGCAAGAAAAACCCTAACCCTAAACCTAAACCCTAACCCTTGTTTCCTTGAAGAAACAAGAAAAAAAAAAATCACGACTTTAAGACAAGCTAGTGTTTTGTAGAAACAAATCAGATACTGCCATCCCTACAAAAAATAACTCTAAGAGCACCTCTTCATTGGGCTTTAATCTGTAGAACGTAGAGATCCCCTGTTCTAAAGAAAGTATGGTCATGAAATTATGTGGAAGGTACCTCAGAAGCCCACACACCAATTTTTATAGATGTAGAAACTGAGTCTCAGAGGGTTTTAGAAATATGTTCACAGTCTCAGAAATACTCAGAGGCATGTTTAGAATTTAGTTTAGAAGACAAGTGACTGGAACATTTTAAAAATTATTAAAGAAGGTAGTAGATAGCATGAAATGATGAACGATTGGGTTCTGGGCAGTGGTGAGCTGGTAGTGTTTAATAATCAAGGGGTGGGGCTGGACAGAGGGAGCCTGACTGACAGTGTTTGTCAAATTCATGGTGCTCATGCCAGTTTCAAGCTACCAGCCTGACACCCTTGAACAAGGAGTTGTGAAGAGATGAGCGCAACCCAGTCAGCTCTCAAGAATGGCAGCGATCATCCGGCTACAGTGAGCAGGACCGTAAGGAGGAGAACTGAGCTAGACCATTGCTCCCCATGCCTCAGACCTTGCAGCTGTGAAGAATGATCCATGGACTTTTCACTTAGCCTCTGCATTCCCCTGCTCCTTAGCTCTTGCTCTTGCCTTGGCAGATAAATAACTCTTACCTCCTTAGCTATCATTTACATTTCAAGCTCCAGCTCAAAGACGAGGTTCTCTGTGAGATTTCTTCTGATTCTTTTGGAAATCATCACTTCTACTCTGAATGCCAGAGTACTTATTTATATCCTTTTTTTTTTTTTTTTTTTTTTTTTTTTTTGAGACAGAGTCTCCCTCTGTCACCCAGGCTAGAATGCAGTGGTGTGATCTCAGCTCACTGCAACCTCCACCTCCCAGGTTCAAGTGATTCTCCACCACAGCCAGCTAATTTTTGTGTTGTTAGTAGAGACAGGGTTTCACCGTGTTGGCCAGGATGGTCTTGATCTCTTGACCTCATAATCCGCCTGCCTCGGCTTCCCAAAGTGCTGGAATTACAGGCACGAGCCACCACACCTGCCCTATTGATATCTTTCATTAGAGTAATTACCAGAGTCTAACTTGATATTATTGTTGATGGGTAGTGTCTTCTCCCCCTAGACTGTCCTCAGAGGAAAAGGACCATATCTTACTCCTTCATTGTCAGAGAAGGAGTGCAGTATGGTGGGTAGGAGCCCAAGCTCTGGAGTGAGACTGCTCAGCTTCAAGTCACTTACCATGGGACCTTGGGCAAGTCATCAAGCCCCTCCGTAGCCATCTGTAAAATGAAACATTAAATGTGAGTTTCAATCTTACAGGCTCACTGTGATATGAGATTACTAGATATGGCCAGTGCCTAGCACATCTATGCTCTCAGTAAATGCTACCTGGTATTGTTACCTCTACTATGTAGCCCAGTGCCTGGCACAGAATTCGTGTGCAGTTGCTGGTGGCTGAACTGAATGGACATGAAGTAAGGATATGATCCAGCCAACTTGTTAGGAAGTTGGGAAAGTGTGTGATAGAGGGAACTGCGTGAACAAAGTAACGTTGGGGAAATGAGAATGATATATTTAATACAAATCAGTAGATTATAGAATTATAGGCTCAGGACCCGGTTTTCCAGCTGTGGTATGATGAACACAGAGCAGGGTAGGATTATTCGTACCTTCCGTTCACCCCATACGCTAGATGACGTATGTCTATAAACGTACCATTGTTATTGCAATAGCTTTTGTAGACTGCCGATTGAAATATCTCATTTCCGATGCTGTGCAATTGCTTTTAAAAACACCAAAATGCTAGATTTTGAGTACAAATACTATTATATTTCATTCAATTGGTTCAGTCCATCATTCCAACTAATTCATATCTCCTCCAAATTTGATTCTGCAATGCATTTTATCTTTCCTCCTATCCAGTTTTCTGTTGTCTGAAATTTTGTAAGCATAACTTATATTTTGTTTTCTAAAACACTATTCAGGCCACTTCTAAGAACAGAGTCCCCTGACATGACATTAGGGACTTTTTTCTATGCTGGCAGTCATTCATTAAAAAATCTCTTTTTTTCCTCTTCACATACAGATTTTAAACTCCTTTCAAATCTATCAAAGTATGCAATATTCATACTGTTCACAATAGTATCTGAGAAACGCTGCCAACATTTTATGTCTGTAGCGTTTTCCCCTCAGATATAGTAAGTCTATTAGGAAAGAAAATGCAGCTAATTTGTTGCAAACTGTTCCTGATTCATCCGTGTTAGCTCCTAGTATCAACAGCTTCCTTTTCCAAGTTGAACTAAGGATTGATGTAAAAGAGTGATGTTAACTGTATCAAGGTAGGCTAGATTCAATGTACAGACCTTGACTATCTAGGTGGAAATTTGTGTACAATCCTGAGGACAGTGAGAGATTGCTGAAATTTTTGAATCAGGATTATAGGACAAAATTGTGTTTTAAGAAAGCCATCTGGCTGCAGTGTCCACAATGGACTCTGGGGGGACCCTTAGTGAGGTTTGAAATTTCCTGCAATAACCTCAGAATGGGCCGCTGGGCTGTATTAGGCTAGGCTAGTAGCAATAAAGATGGAAGAGAATAAATTTGGATTTAAGAGAAAAAAAAATCAAAAGGGACTGTTGAGGGAAGATGATAGGAATGAAATAAATAAGTACTTTAAGGCTTCTCAACCTTTTACACATTATTGAACATGAAGAATATAAAACCAGTTTGGCCAAATAGGCCTGTTTGAAGATGCGGGTGACCAATGTCCTGGGCACCCAGGACTGAGTTTCTCCTCTCCCAATTCCTACCTGCCCTGACTGGCAGAGGACATTAGTATCTCCACTGCTGAAGAGCCATTTGGAAATTTTGGTTTTCGAAATAAATAGTCTTAGCGATATGAGAAAAAGCGACTTGTACTAAAATCAGGATCGACAGTACAGAGAATGCTGTACACACGAAGGAAAGCAAATGTTTCGTTCAGTGCATGATTCTGAACAAAGAAGCAAAACATCATTTATACCCTTGAAAGAAAACCAACAGCATCAGCCAAGCAAGGACTGTGGAGGTACCAAGTAACATAGCCCAAGCCACCAGGCCACTGCCTGCCTTATGATGATGCAGTAATACAAGGGCAGTGGCTATGCGGGCTACTGCACAAAGACACCAAGAAGCAGGGAGTCTGGGTTTTGCATTAATATGAAAATCCAAGTCGATTTGCTTGAAAATTTATGAAGTGCCATTGACTTGTTGCTTCTTACTGATTTCTGTAGTTAATAAATTCGGTAGTGCTGTAGTTCCTGGTGCCTCACCTGTTCTACAAATTTGCATTGCTGCATGGAGGAAATCATAGATGGAGAAAATGCAGGTGCTTGCAATCTATAATTCCTTACAATAATTGAAGGTGCTCAGTTATAGAAAATGAACAAGTATTCCCTCTTTCTCCGTTAAACTCAATCACACGGAGAGAACAAGAACCCCTCAACAAAGCCCCATGTGGATTCCCTTATAAAAATAGGAATGAGTGGCTCTTCCAAAAGGTAATGGAACCCATACATTTCTCAGGATGGTTGGCAGCAGGCCGCCATGTTCATGATTCAGGGGCATTGGCCTTTCACCCTGGAGTCCATATGGATGGTGCTCCCTGGTGTTGGGGCACCCAGCCTGTGTGGCCATAAGTGGTGGTTCATAGAGAGACACATCTGATTCATCCTTGGCTTCCACTCAGCCCAGGAGGTGCACATCTGCACTAACCCATGTTCATCCCCAGCCTAACCATGCTCCCTTCCTAAATGAACTGTGTGTTAGTATTCTTTAATCCCAATTTGTCATTTTATTCCAATTCAGATCCATTGAGCTCTCCCCACTGGATCTCTTTTACAGCCAAAATGCATCCTTTTGGCTCATCTGCTCCCATTGTTCTGTTGACCTTTCCAAAGCTATTTGCTGCTCTCACCATCATGCTCCTTGTTAGAGTTAAGTAGAAAAAAACTGACAGCCACTCATAATGCAGGGAACTCCAGCATCCTCGCAGTACTTGCTACAGCTTCAGTTTAGCACTTACTACACAGTATTCCAAAATATTTTTTACATATCTGACTCCACTCACTGTGAGCTTCATGAAGGACAGAATGATGCTTCTTTGAGCCATGCGGCTTAGCAGGGTGCCAGCACATAGTAGGTTCTCATTTAACGTTTGGTAAATGAATGTATTGGCTTTCTTACATTTAAACATAGTAGTCTCATTTGGGGAATATGATTTAAAAAGTATTCCTTTCTCTAGTAGGTACAATGCTGGCACTTGTCGGCTTCTGTTTAACTGCTTCCTGGGATTATTCAGATGATACTGGGACAGGCTGTTATGTTGTGGCCAATGGCTTCTGATTCTTGTGTTCATCCTTTTGCAGGTGGGGAAGTGGAAAGACAAGTCCCTGCAGATGAAGTACTATGTGTGGCCCCGAATGTGTCCTGAGACTGAAGAGCAGGAGGATGACCACCTAAGCATTGTGACCCTGGAGGAGGCACCGTTTGTCATTGTGGAAAGTGTGGATCCTCTCAGTGGAACCTGCATGAGGAACACGGTCCCCTGCCAAAAACGCATAATCACTGAGTATGACATCCTCTCAATGACTTTGGGTGGCATGGGAGACTCTGATTTGATGCACCTGTTAGCACTTGGCTGGCCTGAGACCTGAGGCATGAGAATTGGGCACTGTTGTCTGATTTCCAGTTGCTTTTGAGCTGTGGGATTACTTGGCAGCACTCTGGTCTGCTGTCTCTTTCTGTCCAGATGGTGACCTGGGAAAATGATGGCTAACTTCCTATGTTAAAGTTTCTTTGGTCTTGCTTGGCCTCAGTGAATAGGACCTCAAGTTTATGGAGATTAAATTTACTTCTGGTGTTCAAATATTTTTCTTAGGCCAGCATGTCCCAAAATCTTGAGATTTAGAGCTACTTTTTTGAAAAATATAAAACTAATCTGTGCTTTTAAAAGTCAGGATAATGGTTCTTCTTAGTGTGAAGTGCCTAGAATGGGGAACAGGAGGCCTCTCAGGTGCTGGTAACTTTTCTGTATCTGGATTTGGGTGCTGATTAAAAGGAGGAGTTCAGTCTGTGAAAATTCACTGAACCAAAGCCTTCCAATATGCACCCTTTTCTTATGTATTTTGTACTTCAAAGGAGAATTAAAATTTGGAGGGAACATAGCTCAATGTGATGAGATAAGGAAAATATTACAGGTCTGTTTTCTGTTTTATTTCTTCACTTGAGTCTTGCATAAATTGTGCTGAGCTGTGAAGGCATCCTGCTTTGGGGTTGGACATTTTTTTAATGGCAAAGGGTAATAAATGTTGCCTTTTTGTACAAAGCCTTGTTTTTTATTTTGTTTTTGTTTTTGTTTCTTTAATTGCCTAGGAATAAAACAGATGAGGAGCCGGGTTACATCAAAAAATGCTGCAAGGGGTTCTGTATCGACATCCTTAAGAAAATTTCTAAATCTGTGAAGTTCACCTATGACCTTTACCTGGTTACCAATGGCAAGCATGGGAAGAAAATCAATGGAACCTGGAATGGTATGATTGGAGAGGTGAGTGTCTGAAAGGGCTGTTTCCATTTCCATTTTCATTTATCTTCCTTCTTTTAAATATGTGTTTAAAACACGCTCACTTTATGAATTTCAGAAAATATAAAATGGTAAATAGGATGTATTTGTTCCCATTCTACAAAGAAAACCACTTCAAGGCTGCGAGTATTTCCCTCGTGGTGGTTGCTTGCCCTCCTGAATGTTTTAATTGGAGCCTTGCATCTTTCTCCTAGGTGGTCATGAAGAGGGCCTACATGGCGGTGGGCTCGCTCACCATCAATGAGGAACGCTCGGAGGTGGTCGACTTCTCTGTGCCCTTCATAGAGACGGGCATCAGTGTCATGGTGTCACGCAGCAATGGGACTGTCTCACCTTCTGCCTTCTTAGGTAAATGATGAGTTGGCTGGTGGAAGGAAATGGACATATGGATGGGGAAATGAAATAAGGAACAAAGAAGGAGCATGTGGCTCTTCCAGCTAGGAGGTGGTTTGCTAGGAGCTCAACTCAGCCAGGGACTTCACTTTGGGGACTTCAAAACTAATTACTCTCAAACTTGAAAACTGATGAACACCCAGAAAAATAGGAAAGCATAATGGCCCCTAAGAAAGCAGTAGTGGGCTAGTCCTCAGAGGGCCTATTGGAGTCCTGTTCCTCCCATTTGGTCAGCATTTGACCTTGAGCAAATTCGCTCTATCCCAGGACTCAGTTTCCTCATCCACAGGAGAAGTCATTTCAACTGGGCGGATCTCTGAGGCTGCTTCCTGCCATAATAATTTCTAATTCTGGATATCATTGAAATATCTATTTATTTTTAATTATCTGCAAGAATTGAGCTCAGTGCTACCAAAAAAGGTTTTTTGTTTCCGCACAAATTTTCTGAGGCTTTGCCAGATAGAGCTGATCTGATTCTGCCTCCCACCCCACCCCACCCCTCCCCATACCATTCTCTCCAGCATTACTTAAATGTCAAAAATCTCAGATGTGATATAAGACTGGGTGAGATGAGGCCAAGACTTCAATTAGATGAGGTCTTTTGTGAGCTCGTACTCCATATTTTTTTGCAGGGTCCATGGAAAAAGGGGTTGGAAAATAAAATGTCATCTTGAAAACACAACGCTGGGCTAGCAGAAAGGAGACTGGGTTTGGCATAAACAAGCCATAAGCCCCTGGACGAGTCACCAACTCTAAGAGACATCAACATTTTTTAAATGGGGCTGTTACAGTAGACAGTGACTAACCTTTCTTTAAGCTCTAACCATAGGGAATTAATTCAATTAATGCACTACAAAGTGGAGTTATAGGCTCCATAGAATTTTTCTATAAATCATTCCAATTTCTTAGCTAATCTTCTTATTTACAGTGAAGCAAATTCCGGCCTTGCCAATTTTATGTGAAATGATTTTAGATAGTGCACACTGTATGCATTAATCCCATAGCTGCTGTACATAATTCATTTGCTTTTTTTCTTTACAAGGATAATTGGAATATTAAGAGATAGAAACAAAACTACATCCTAATTCTAACCTTGTCAGTATAGCACTACTTTAACTTCTAAACTGGCAGAGCCAGTGATACATCAGGATGTCCCTGAAATGGCACAGAAATGCCAGGCAAAGTGTGTTTATGTCTGTGTTCAGAGGAGGAGGAGTTAGTTATAGGGATAAAAGAAGCCAGCATTTATTGAGCACCTACTATATAATGTGCTAGGCATCATTGTACATACGTTGTTTATATTAACTCAAAATGTTGTTATACCCATTTTATAGCTTAAGAAACTGAATCTTAGACATATTAAGCCATTTTCCAGCAGTCTTTTAGCTGATAACAGGAAGCTCTAGGATTAAAATCCAGCTATGGCAGCCTTCAGAACTTGTGTTCTGGTACAAATAAGGCCATTTCAGAGTTCAGCCCCTAATGCAGGAACCAGCGTGGGGGACAAAGAGCGACGTAATACGTTGAAAAAAACACCGACTGTTTGCATCAGTTTGTAGCCTGAGCCTGCCGCTTTCTGAGTATGAATTGGAAAGGACCTTGCCCTCTCAGTCCTACTTTATTCCCTATAAAAATAGATAAAGTAGTCCCTAATGAAAGGGTCATTAGAAAAATTACATACAGTATGTCGTAAAAGTACTTTCTAAATTGTAAAGACCAAAACAGATGATGTATTTTGTGTATAGAAAGTTTCCCTGGGCCTAACGTGAGGAACAGACCATAGAGGCAATGTTTTTACTCAGTAATTTCCCAATCTTAGACAAAAGGAAATCAGGGTAGAATTGCAATCAATTAGAGTCAAGTGTGTGGAGGTTTTCTTCGCTCCTCTGTAGAGAGCCTTTGAATTGTGCCTTTTACCCTCGCATCTCCAGCTGCCATTGAAAGGTTCTGCATTTCACAGTTGGTGTGTTAAGCACTGGGGCTTTATCAAGATCTTTTTAAAATTGATTAAGTGACCAGGCTTTTATAATTCCTTTGGGAGTTCAATAATAAAGTAGGTTTCAGAGTAAGAAATATATTTTCTAATTTTCAGCCAATTTTTCCCCTTTTTAAACTTCATCTTTATTAATGATTTGGAAGATGGAGAAAACAGCATGTTAATTCACTTAGTTATGAGTTTACAATGTGCTGTGACAGCTAAAAAGGCCAGAACTATTTTGAGACACAATTGAGGGAGCATTGTATCATGGGACAGAATAGTGATTGTCCCTTTTTATAGGCCTTCTGGAATATAGTATCTCGTTTCTGGACACTTCAAAGCCAGAGAGAGATTTAGCTGGCTGGAAAGGATTCAACACACATGATTAAAGATATTAAAGAAAGCATGTGTAGAATATTCTTGCTACCTTACCCAGTCTTGTCCCTATCAACCCTATCACTTGGTAATGGCAAATGGACTGTAGCTGGTTTGTGAGTTACAGCTGAGGCATGCTCCTTTGTCACTTGTTAAATTCCCACTGTTGCAGATACTGATATTTCACATGGATGGATTCTGTAACATTGATTTATATTCTCATACCCAATAATGTCTTACCCAACGATGATAACATACAACACATCAAAGTAGACTGAAAAAGTAAATCTAGGCTAGGAAGTTTAAGAAAAGTGATACAACGGGGAAAGGAGACTGGCTATTTATGGTACACACTTATTCCTGAACCAATTCAAATCTAAAATAGTAGCTAGGACTGTTGTGAATGACTGTCTGCAAAGCTCAGAAGCATTGGAGAAGGCATTTGCAGGCCCTCACTACATGGTGTGGCCATAGAGAAAAGAATGTAAACTGAGTCAGTCCAGTAGAGCTCACTCACTTCATAGCCAGTACTTCTTCCAATTGCACCATTTACTGAAACACCCAGATATTGGTCCAATAATGGCAGAAACTGCCTCCACAACCTAAAAGGCTCATGGGCATGAAGCTGTCTTTTTCATATATTTGGAGGAAGACAATCCTTTCCCTTTAAGGAAATGGCTCAGGTACAATCTGGCTTCCTGAAGGCAGACAACACACTGTGGTTTGTTCCCCATCCCCTAAAATATGAAATAAATATGTGAATTAATTTGAATTTGTTTGCTCTCCGTTTTAACCCTGAGCCCTGCTTTTTTCTCTTCCCAGAGCCATTCAGCGCTGACGTATGGGTGATGATGTTTGTGATGCTGCTCATCGTCTCCGCCGTGGCTGTCTTTGTCTTTGAGTACTTCAGCCCTGTAGGTTATAACAGGTGCCTCGCTGATGGCAGAGGTAAGGCCAGCTGGGACTGCTGCACTTCTCCATTTTTTTTTCCTTATTTTCAAATCTCTGGACTCATCGTTTGTTATCTGCAGTTTCCCTAGCCTATCCATTTCTGAAAAGGAACCCTCAGGTGACCATTTCTAGGTCACCAGCTTGGTGTCTCTTTAGAAATACTCCAGTTACGATGTTAGTTTGAATCTATAAGTCTGCTTTATGCCTGGCCCCAAGCCTAGTTCCACCCCCAAGTAAAGGAGAAGAAAAACTGTTGGTAGATATGGGTAGCGTAAACATGTCACAGCCAACTATTTTGATAACCTTAGGCTGTGGCCAGTCTGTTGGAACAGATGCCACTAACAAGGCAGATTGTATACACATGTTAAAAACAAGAAGAAATGGGTTGCCCTAGGGTATATGCAGGTGGTTGGGGCTGGTAGAGTTCCCCAGAGCCAAAGGATCACGACTGAGGTACCAGATCTTCAAAGCATATGCCCCTGCCTCAACCCCCTTGCCGGAGAGTATAAAAGTTGGGTGTTCGAAATAAAATGAAATAGAAAGACCAGTTCTCACTCATAGCTATTATTGGGTATGGTCCAATTTCCTGGGTAGGTAGACCCAGAGATGTGAGAGCTGCCCATGTGTTTGAGGCATTTATTGCCAGTTTTTAAAAGCTCACATGAATCTAAAGGGGATCATAGGATCCTTGTAAATAACTCCTGTAATACTTCCTGAGAACCCCAGGATTAATAAATATTCTGCCTTTGCTGAGTCTTCGCCATCCCAGAATGTGAGCTCTATCCTAGAATTATACCTCTAAGAGAAAAGATTCTTAACCCTGGCTGCACATAAGTATAATCTGTGGTACCTCTAAAAGACACAGGTGCTAGAACTCCTTTTCTGATTCACTAAGTCTAGGATTGGGTGAATCTAACACTGTATGCTTCAAAACAGTGTTTCTCCATTTTGGTTGCTTGTTAAAATAAAATAACTAGCCCCACCCTATACCAATTAATAAAGAATCTCTAGGGATAGGGTTCCAAGCAGCAGTATCTTATAAACGCTTCCCTCATGCTTCTGTTGGATTCACAGTCCCAGCTGTGAAACGCCACTTTACTGAAGTATTGCCAAGTGGAGACTTACCTTTTAATTTGGTTTGTGTATTCTGGGGTGGGAGTTGGGGTGTCTCCACTGTATGTACAGTCAGGGGCTTTCCACTTGTGCTTCATCCAGAAGCCGTGGCCTATATCCCAGCCTGTATGGCACCAGTAAGAAATAGAACATCTGGGAATCACATGAGTATATACTTAGGCTGGCAACGTCAAGAACTGAAGTCAGTGTGTGCTGCTTCTCTCCCTGAAAACAAAACACAAAAGAGGTGAAAATCCAGATTTGCAAAAAAGCTCAGAGCGAGAGCTTACAGTTACTCACTTTGCTGAAGAATGTTTGTCTTCACAGAGGAATTCAACTTCGGGCCACGTTAAATATCAAGTCTCCTTAGAGCATTTTACACTTTACAAAACTTTGATTTAGAAACAACTTTTTAGTTACACCTCTGTTGCATGAAATAAGGTCCACACGCACGGATGCGTGTGCACAGTTAGATATCGGGTTCAACATGCGTCGTCCCTGATGATTTATTTGGCTGAGCGGATGCTATCAGGATCACAGATTACATCATAAGACCTGTGCTGATACATCGTAAAACTGTGCAGGCAGATGTTCACTTCTGCAGTGAAGGGGCTACATGGAGATTCAGACAACAGGCAAGATTTTACTACCAGCAAATAGACATTGCAGTGAGATCACAATACGTATATGGGCAGAAGCCAAGCACTGTCTGCGTAAAGCTTAGTGGGGGAGGAAATCAAAGTCAAAAGCAGCCAGCTTCCTGCCCTCAGATCCATGTAACCAGGCCGGGATTCTATGACTTCCTCTTTGGCCTTCCTGATACTCTTTTACACACAAGCTTCTACTGCAGGAAACCAGCTGGGAAGTGTTGGCACTGGAGTGGGGTCAGGGTTGTCTTTGAAACATTAAGCACTGAGTGCTAGAAGCTAAAGGAAAATCAGGAAGAAGGGCATTCCATGCCATCCAGCGTCAGTGTAAACAGACTTGGAGGGGGGTTATGAATGGTAGAAAACAATCTTACACACTTCTTACTGATGTTTTTGGAAGTTAAAATGCATTCTTTGTAGATACAGATATAAAATATATGGAAAAATGACAGTAATGACCCAAGTGTGGCCATAGTGACATAGTTGACCTTTGTTACTCAGTTTTGACGTGATCTTGAGAGGGTCCTGTATATAGGGGCAGGGTAATGGCTCCTCCAGAGAGAAGTCGTGATTGTTAGTTTGAGAAAGACCCCACACACCACCAACCCCGCCCAGGTTTCTGGTTTTTCGCCTAAGGAGCCCTCTGCAGCCCTCCTGAGAGGTCCCTGGAAAAGAGCGATGCACACTCTCAAATGTAAAAGCTGTCTGTAAAAGGGCTTGGTTTTAGTGGAAGGGTTTCCTGCTCTGAGCAGGGACTCACAGGCCCTATGTATTTGTAGGTTTAAATAGAATCAGGCATGCTGGCTTGACTTTTATTCTTGCCTTTTTGTCATGCCAGAGCCTGGTGGCCCCTCTTTCACCATCGGCAAAGCTATTTGGTTGCTCTGGGGTCTGGTGTTTAACAACTCCGTACCTGTGCAAAACCCGAAGGGGACCACCTCCAAGATCATGGTGTCAGTGTGGGCCTTCTTTGCTGTCATCTTCCTGGCCAGCTACACTGCCAACTTAGCTGCCTTCATGATCCAAGAGGAGTATGTGGACCAGGTTTCTGGCCTGAGCGACAAAAAGGTAAGAGATCCATTTGAAATCTCCCATTTTCCCCTCAGTCCTGTTCTCAGCCATACTCAAAGTTCTCATGTACCTGCTTGTCTTCTACATTTTTAGAATTCACAGTCCTTTCTTATGTTTCCTTGTATTGGAACATGGGAGTAGACGTCAGTTTCCCTGCTGAAATAATAGGACTTTATATTGGCCTCCTGATGTGTGAAAGGTTGTCCCTGGTACGCCCTAGGCTGCAAATAAAGGGCTCAGTGTGCTAGTGGCTTTCTGAGTGCATGGTACCTCCTGTTGTATGTGGATAGGTGGCCTATCCGCACAGGGCTGCCAGTGTGGGGTGGTGTTAGAGGGCTGCCGCTGTGTACCCACACTGAGGGGACGGGTGCGTGATGGCCTCATTTTATTCCCAGTGGTGTTGGCTGTGGGCTCTCCCTGTGTCCCACACTGCACACTCATATGTTCCTGGGGCTGGGCAGGAGGGTCGTTCACAGTGCGTTTTGAAGAGAAGTGACTGCTGTTTAACTGGATGATTGCCCCTGTATGCTGCTGATGAATGGGCTGCCCCCTTACTGATCACAGGGCTCTTGCAGGCCTGTGCAATTGAGAGAGAAAAGGAAGTGTCTGCTGGTTCCCATCATTACTGGATGAGGATGTACAAAACCCATTCTAAATACGTTGGACTCTCCAGTCTCCCTGAACCATCACATTTTTCATGGGAGATCTGTCTCCTGAAACTGTGTAACCAGGGCTAGTGATAGGAGCCACTTTCATGGAGTGTCCCATTAAGCTTATAGCCAAAATAATTTTGGAGACTTGTGCTCACAACACATTTCACCTATAAGATTTAGAAATAAATCTTAAGGAAATGTAGTGATTTTTCTACCCCCACCCTCACCCCCAGCACGAAGCCATGAGATATAGACAGGTGTATCTTCAGAACAAATGGTGCTTTGCACAAGGGTTAGATTTGCCCAACCTAAAACCCTACCCACTTCAGCAAATGGTCCAGGAAGAGTGAAAAGGAGGAAATACTCTTTTCTCTTCAGGGTCAGAGTCTGATTTCTCCTATGTTTCTACTTATAAGAACATTCAAAAGCATGTGGAGAAGATAAATAGTATCTTGAGGAAATGAATGTGTGTGTGTGTGTGTGTGTGTGTGTATCACTGTGTTTACTCCTTCGTGTTATCACTTTCTCTGATTTGTCTTCTTTTTTGCTTTTTCTTCCTTATTTGAAAAAAAAATTCTCTTTTATATTTCTTATTTAGAAGCTTCTATTTACCTCTCTCATCTCATGATTTATGATACATTTATTTATATATTCATCTATTTATTACTTAACTGTTTTTAAACCTCTTTTTCATTATTCCTTTGTCAACATCTTTCATCATGATCCTAACTCAAATTTGAGTTAGACACCTCCTTTCAGCCCCATTTGAAGCCACCACCACAAACACCTTTTGATGACTCTTTCTGTAACTGGGACAGTAATGGGGCTGAGAACAACTTCAGGGCTCAGTACTTGGATGTGGCTCAGGTAAGGTGGACCACGACCACCTCCTATTGTTTGGATGTCTGATCCCTTTAAATCTCATGTTGATATTTGAACCCCAGTGTTAAAGGTGGGGCCTAATGGGCTGTATTTGGGTCACTGGGTGGATCTCTCAAGAACAGATTAATGCCTTCCTTGGGAGGGGTGGGACTGAGTGAGTTCTCACTCTGTTAGTTCCCATGAGAATTCCCCCAAAAGCTGATTGTCAAAAAGAGCCTGAAACCACCCCTCTCTCTTGCTTCCTCTCTTGCCATGTGATCTCTGCACATGCTGGCTCCGCTGCCCCTTCCGCCATGAGTGGAAGCAGCCTGAGGATGTCACCAGATGCCCAAACTTGAACTTTTTCAGACATCAGAATCGTGAGCCAAATGAACCTTTTTTTCTTTATAAATTACCTAGTCTCAGGTATTTCTCTATAGCAATACAAAATGGACTCAGGCACCACCCTAAGACATGGATGTTGCAGAAACTTGATGGGCCATACCCTACGTGTAGACTTCTCAGAGATATGACAGGCCATGTCTTCACATGACCTGTGGCTGAGATGTAGTAGACTGTGTACCCACACAGAGTATAGCAGGGCCATGTCACCGTGCATGACATGGCAGGGGTGTCCTATGCATGGATGTAGCACTGTATGGTTGAGATCATCTGACTGCACATCAATATGGCAGAGATGAGGTGGGTCACAGACCTTCTTGGGGGTCTAAGCTGTTAAGTGGAGGATCTGCATGGGTATCAAAATGTTTCCTTCAGTTGTCTTGAAAATTACTTGGTACATGGCATTTATCTTTCTCTTGCCCTCATGAGCCATGCAGTAACAACTGAATGCTTTTCTGTTTGAACTAAGCATAACTGAGATAGAGGAAGACAGTTTTCTTTTCCATAAAATAAGTATCATTTCTGGGCTTCTTAAAGCAGACAGGATATGCACATGTCTGTCCTCCATACCATGTTGATTATGTCCTAAAAAGTTGGATCCCATCAGTTTGTTTTATAGAATTAAGATAGGGGTGTGTGGTGGGGGGAGGCGGGGAGACTCTCAAGACCTTTGCAAATAATGTCCACTGTGACACCAGCTCTCCAGCCTCATTGGCCAATGCTTGGGTTCCTGTATCTGATGCCCTGCGTATCCACAACTCTTCATCTTTCCCAACTGTACCTCTATCTGTGCATCTGCCTGGGAGGCTTTTTTCCCCCACTTTTTCACTCATCAAACTCCTACTGAAACTTTAAAACCTAGATTAGAGGTCCCTTTATTTGTGGAGCTTTCCCTAGCTCATTTGGGAAATGAGTCATTCTGTGTTCTGTAATGGCAACTATTCAAATCTTTATTATAACGTGTATCTTCCACAGTCTGTTGAAATAATCTGAAGGCCTATACCTGACCACATATTCCTCTATCTGACCATGAACTCCACAAAGTCAATGACCATAAATTGGTCATCATTAAGACAAAAAAAAAAAGTCTGTGGGGAGAGAGGAAGAGAGGCTATATTTACTTGAGAGCCCCTGGCAAAAACAGTGGACCCGGCGTCACAGGCAAAGAAAGCCAACAAGTCAGCAAGTGCCCCTTAATAGCTGTTTAATTTGAAATGGTTATCTGATACATTTCATAACTTTGCAGATGACAAAACGTAAAGTGTAAGCACCCTACCAGAATCTGTCAACATAATTTAAATAATTATAGAAAACATTTAAGTAACGAATGACTGCATATCAGTGTCAGAGACAGTTATATAAATCAGAAAGAGAGTTTTCTGAAAGTATACTTAAAATGTTAAAATTCTTTTAGTCTTACTTCAAAACACCTAAAGAAAACAAATTCTTGGGACAGGGAATGGTAATGCATGAGAGGAGGTATATTCTGTGAATTTAGGAAAAGAATAAAGACATTCAAACAATAGTATTGAGAAAAGAATTGAGGTGATTTTGAAGATTATTTTTCAATGTGATTAGATTTTCATCAAGGAAGTAACATTTAAAATGGAGAAGGGTTCCTAAACTTGTTTTGACTATTATAGATGATAAATCTTACATATAACTCAGGTCAAATGATAAATATCTTGGAGTGATGATGGAAAGATATTTGTAGCCATTCGATTTATAGCTTTTTAAAAAAATTATCTTCAGCTTTTTGGCAGGAAAAAAAACATGTACTCAGATTTCATTTATGTTAAGGTAGAAAACCAGAGTTAAATTTCCATGAAAACCTATTTTTGTGCTCCTTTATACTGGAAGGCTTCCATTTTGCGGTAGCACATTACAGTGAATTCGGAATTATTCCACTACATGCTGTACCTAAATATGGGTGCAAGTTCTAACATTCAGCAGCCTGACTGTACATTCCATCAGCTCCCCCAGTGGGAGGAGGGTGTAAGGGAGCTAGTGACATCTTTCTTCTCTTAACAAAGAGCCCACAGTGCATTCTCATATTTCTCACCTATCCATATGGATTTCTCATTTTGCAGTCTGCCAACCATAGTATGAAGGAGAAAGAGCTTGGCTGGGGGGAGGGGGACGGGGAACATATTCGCTGGGTACTGGGTACATTATGTATGCTCTGTGTATGCTGATTGGATAACCTTCATACAGGTATGATTATTCTCATTTTACAAATAGGGAAACCGAAGACTCGGAAAAACTAGTAACTTCCCAAAATTCATACATTATCAAGTGACAGAGCCAAAATTTGAGTCCCTGTGTATTTGGCTCTAAAATCATTCTGGCAGGGTGTTTCCCTTGTAGCTAATCTCAGGCAAAGTTGTGACATAGGTAAGGATTGGTATTGACACCCCTGCCCCCACTTTCTTATTGAATTCCCTATCCTTTAATGTAATAACTTGATTCCACTTAACCCAACCCTTCTCAGGGCACAATAACACTACCGCTACTACTAATGATTATCATTGATGTTATTATTAATACAACTTCAACAATAACAACCCAGCTAAGATTTTTTTCAGCTCTTACAAGCCAGGCATTATGTCAAGTACATTACATAGATTATCTTATGTAATGGTGCTAATAATATCTTTATCTGTAGATGAGGAAACTGAAGCTGGGAGAGGTTAAGTAATTTGCCCTTATGGTGTTCCCGTCTCCCTGTGGCCCCTGAACCCCTGCCACTCTTTTAGACCCTGATGCTTTTTGATGCTTTTTCCAGTTATTCACTTTTCTTCCTACCTTCCCATCTACTTTATCAAAGCCTAACAAGTTAGATCTTTTTCCTCTACTAAAATGTAGCCATCTAATTAATTGAGCCATAATAATTAGGTAGCATTCCAACATTTGCACTTTATTTAATAAGCCTTTTAGAGACATTATTTTAAATAGAGAATAATGGTGATTTCCAGTACTTGGGCAGGCTAATGGCCCTCCAATTGACTTTAGCCTGTGCATAGAGTGACCCTTAGCTTTAAGCCATTGTTGGATGGTGGAGAACGGTGGCAGCAGGAGTGA